TGCAAGCGGCCTCTCAAGCCTCATGCTTAGGACTTTCCTAAAATCTCTCAAACAAGCAGCAGCAGGCCCCATACGGCTTGATAAAGGGCCCCAGGCCTGGCACTAGCGGCAGCTGCACTGGCTCATAGCTTGGCCTCTCCTGGGCACCTCCAAGCCCAGCACAAGTAGCAGCCAACTACAATTTGCTGTGTAGCTCCTGCTGGGTGGCCCTGGGCAAGGCACTGGCACAGGCTGACTTTGCACCTCCCCAGAGGCCCCAGAGATAATGCACCTGGTGGTCAGGCCCAACCATGCTGGATTACAACCCTACCACATCCACAAGTGACACACTCAAGGGGCGCACTTGGTGAACACCAAAGCCCCATTGAAGTAAATCCTGCTCCATAGGGGTGTCTCCAGCACAGCAGCTCTCTGGCTGTAGTTGCAGCTCGTCCTCATAGCCAATTGGCCTGGGGGTCAGTTTCTCCCAGAAACACCAACAGCAACCAAGGCTCAACTATAACAGGTCAGAGCACACAGCCCACACAGGGGAGCACCTAGAAGGCCCAGCTCAGGTAGCTGGGGAGGCTGAGCCACTGGGCCCTACAGGACACCTACTATACAAAGCCACTCTACAAATTCCAGGAGACAGAGCAGCTCTGCCTAATACATAGAAACAAACACCTGGGAGCAGTCAAAATGTGGAGGCAAAGAAACATGTCACAAAGGAAAAAACAGAAGAAATCTCTAGAAGAGGAACTAAATGAAATAGATCCAAGCAAGCTAACAGATAGAGTTCAGAATTTTGGTTATAAGGATGTTCAAGGGATATTAGTAAGACTATTACAAAAACAAGTGAGACCATCGATGACCTAATAAAGTACCAATATGAAATGAAGGCTACACGAACTGAAATGAAGAATAATTTACAAGGAATCAACAGTAGAGTAGAGGATGCTGAGAATCAAATCAGCAATTTGGAACATGAGGAAACAAAAAACACCCAACCAGAAGAGCAAAAAGAAAAAAGAATCCAGAAATAAGAAGATAGTATAAGGAGCCTCTGGGACAACTTCAAGAGGCCCAACATTCGTATTTTTGGGGTGCCAGAAGGGGAAGAAAGAGACCAAGAAATTAAAAAAAACCTATTTGAAAAAATCATTACAGAAAACTTCCCCTACCTGGGGAAAAAAATAGACTTATGAGTCGAGGAAGCACAGAGGGTCCTAAACAAGAGGAACCCAAAAAGGCCCACAGCAAGACACATCATAATTAAAATGCCCAAGATTAAAAACAAAGAGAGAATCTTAAAAGCAGCAAGAGAAAAGCA